GGAGAGGCCTGTGGCTCTGCAGCAGACGACGGAGAGGCCTGTGGCTCTGTAGCAGACGGAGAGACCTTGGGTTCTGCTGCGGCGGCAGGAACTGACTCTTCTGCTGCGGCGGCAGGAACTGACTCTTCTGCGGCGGCAGGAACTTCTGCGGCAGGAACTTCTGTGGCAGGAACAGGAACTTCTGCAGCAGGAACAGGAACTTCAGCAGCAGGAACAGGAACTTCTGCAGCAGGAACTTCTGCGGCAGGAACGGAAACAGGAACAGGAACTTCTGCGGCAGGAACAGGAACAGACTCTTCTGCGGCAGGAACAGAATCTTCTGCGGCAGGAACAGGAACAGAATCTTCTGCGGTAGGAACGGAGTCTTCTGCGGCAGGAAAAGGAACAGAATCTTCTGCAGCAGGAACGGACCCTTCTGCGGCAGGAACGGACTCTTCTGCGGCAGGAACGGACTCTTCTGTGGCAGGAACGGAGCCCTCTGCGGCAGCGGCAGGAACGGATGCGTAGTCCATCAGGAACCTCTCGGAACAGGAGAGGTGAGGAGCGTCTGCCGGGACCCCCTCGGAACAGGAGAGATGAGGAGCGTCTGCCGGAACCCCCTCAGAACAGGAGAGCTGAGGAGCATCTGCCAGGACCCCCTCAGAACAGGAGAGATGAGGAGCGTCTGCCGGAACCCCCTCAGAACAGGAGAGCTGAGGAGCATTGGCCGGGACCCCCTCGGAACAGGAGAGGTGAGGTGTCTCCACCGGGACCTCCTCGGAACAGGAGAGATGAGGAGCGTTCGCCGGGACCCCCTCAGAACAGGAAAAGTGAAGAACTGACTTGGGTTCAGAGATAACGGTGACTAAAGGGGCCTTTAAAGTCCTTATCTGTGTCAGTAACAGATTGTATTCAGGTAGCTGAGCAAGACCAGGCACAGACAATAAAAAACCATCCATCAAAGAAAATACAACGTCGGCGGAAGCCGGGTTATCCCTAGCTGCCCGGAATAAACCCAGCAAAGTACTGTTTACTTGTCTAATTTCATGGGGTGAAAATGAGAATATGGAAGGAATGTCTCTATGTGGAGGTGTGGTGACGGGTACCTCCCCCCCCCCCCCCCCCCCCCCCCCCCCCCGGGGGGGGGGGGGGGGGGCCCCCCCCCCCCCCCCCCCCCCGGAAACCTAGGAGGTAGGGCGGCGGAACACGCCCTCACAGAGTCACTGGGATTATGCTCGGGAGGTATGGTCAGGCTGGGTCGGGCAGCCGCGGCGCGGTATGGCGGTGAGAGAACGGATTCCGCCCTCACCAGGAACCTGAAAGGTGAGGCGACGGAATCCGCCCCTGTGGTGTTAAGTGGACCAGACTCACCGAACCGAACAGGAGTGGACCGGAGCTCCTGCGGAACGTTGGATCTCGCCCCCACCGGAAACCTGGGAGGTGAGGCGGCGGATCCCGCTCCCACAGAAACACCGGAACCAGCTCTAAAAATCTGCTCAGCCGACGTGACCGGGCCGGTCGCCGCGGACTGCCTCTAGAGCCGCTTTCTGCCTCTACAGAGGGAGCGGGACGGCAGAAGGACAGGGACGGAGTGGAGCTTGTCCATCATGGCTCGCGGAGGGAAAAAGAATAAAGGTGAGTTTGCCGAGAGAGAACCCTGCCCGCTGGGTTCTGGAATGGTCGCGTTATAATGTCAGGGGTTTTCAGGTCAGGGCGAACCCAGTAGTGCAGACAGGGACTCACTCGGCAGAAGTACAAAATTTAGAAATTTAATGATAATAATAAAATACAAAAATAACAGGCTGACGAGGCAGCACAACTTACAAAATGGGATGAAGGCACGGGAAGCTCAGAGGGACTCAGGGAAACTCAGAGGAACTCAGGAAACTCAGCAGACACAGGAGAACACAGGGACCCAACGAAGACGACGCGACAAAGAACAAGACTGAACAGACGACTTATATACAGGGACAAGACGAGACGTGATTACAAACAGCTGTGACGAGACAAGGGTGGCACCAATTGAACTAAAGAGAAAACACTAGGGAACACAGACACAAACCGGGCCGTCAAATGGTACCATCGTTACAGTACCCCCCCTCAAGGACACCCCCAGGCGTCCCCAAAAAACCCCCCTCCCGAAGGACTTGGGCGGGTGGAGGGCGGCACTGCAAGGGTGGAGGGCCCGAGGAAACACAAGGAAGAAACCAAAGACCTGACAAAAACTAAGGCAAAACACAAGTAGGAAAACACAAAAGTTCTGAATGGTCAAGAGACCGTCCCTAGAGTCATTGTTCCGGCGGGCGGCCGGGAGGCGGTCTATCGAGCCGGGCCAGGTCAGGGGGGTGGCCGGGAGGCCATCTATCAAGCCGGGCCAGGTCAGGGGGGCGTCCGGGAGGCCGTCCATCACGGGAACCACGTTCCGGGGGGCGGCCGGGAGGCCGTCCATCACGGGAACCACGTTCCGGGGGGCGGCCGGGAGGCCGTCCAACACATAGGACCAGGGAGACCGCGGCAGGCGGTGATGACGACTTGGAGGCTGCGGCAGGCGGCGATGACGACTTGGAGGGCGGCAGGTGGCGATGACGACTTGGAGGCCGCATCTGGCGGCAATGACGACTTGGAGGCCGCATCTGGCGGCGATGACGACTTGGAGACCTCATCTGGCGGCGATGAGAGCTTGGAGGCCGCATCTGGCGGCGAAGAACCCTTGGATGCAGCAGCTGGCGGCGAAGAAACCTTGGAGGGCGCAGCTGGCGGCGAAGAAACCTTGGAGGGCGCAGCATGCATCATAGAGTCCTGGGGAGCTGCAGCAGCCGACATGGAGGACCATGGAGCCGAATCCTCTGTGGTAGTGGAGAGCGCCGGACACTGGAGACTTGGAGAGCGTCTGCCCTTCTGGAGACTTGGAGAGCGCCAGCCTCTCTGGAGACTTGGAGAGCGCCGGCCCCTCTGGAGACTTGGAGAGCGCCGGCCCCTCAGGAGACTTGGAGAGCGCAGCAGTTGACGAGAAGGTCTGGGGAGTTGCTGCTGCTGTCATGGAGGTCTGGGGAGTTGCTACTGCTGT